CGTCATGTACACATTTCTTAAACCCAGGTCTCCCTGCAAACGAGACGTGTGTGTGTGCGTGTGTCTTTATGTTTAATCAAGTTGTATCGCCGACTAAATCATTTGAGAACAATCCTCAACGTATCTTTTGCAATTAGTGTCCGTCTAAATTGGCGCCCGTGGGTTGGACAATGATATGACAGTACAAAGGCAAAGATCGCCCTATAGCCTTTAAGAGACTGTTGGGGACAAGTGCTGTGAGTGAGCAGCACCTCTGAATGCCGGCACGGCACACGAGGGGGTGAGTGGCCAGCACCACGCCCGGCCGCCTTTGTCTCCCCAGTGACGATGTGTTACACACCGCGCCAGGTACTCGTTTGAGGCTGAGTCAACCTTAGGGGAGGCCCAGGACCGGTTCAGATGAATCGTCACTGGGTTTGGTGGTCGTGAGCGGGCATCAAATTCGGGTCACCGGGTTTGTAGTGCAACGCGCTAATCACTGCACCACCGCTCCCAGCTATGACACGTACACACAACAAGGTGCACAAACGCAGTGCGAATACAACTCACGAGGACAGATATACGAAGCGCATTCAACACATATACAGACACACCGTTTGCGTACGCCAACGTGAAAACAACACAAACGCAACAGAATTTAAAGGACACGGACAGAAGACACACACACAGATACAATTCACACAACACACACACGTGGAACTCGCGAATACACAACGCAACATTGCAAAGGTGCACAAAGTAAAATATCTATTATCTATACATATATATAAATAAACCCATAACAATGAACACAATATAATTAGTAGACATGTAACGATGTACACACCACCGCCGTAGCACGAATTGTTCGATTAATCGTGGAAACCCGTGAGCCCCCCCCCCCAATTAGATTGATTAATCGATTATTAATTAAGTTTTCTCGTTTCGGCTTCGTCCGTTCCATTCCGTCCGGAACTGTAATGTCAGTCACATCTTTGGCATACAATTTGCATACACCGATGGTAACTGCTTCGGGGGAAGTAATTGACGTTTTGACATCGATTACTGTGACTCGTCGATGTTCTGACATCGATTACTCGACGGGTCGTTAGATGCCTACTAGTTCCGTCTGTTCCTTACACGGAAGTAAAAAAAAAAACGAAAAATTATGCTCATGTTGTCGCTAAAATTCTAGGTGCCAAGAATTCACAAAATATAGAATCTCATCGTCTTACAAAAAAATACTTGTCTTGCAATAATACAATAACTTTAACATCTTCTTTAAAAAATAATAATATTTCTCGTTTCTAGAGAAGATTCCCACTTGTAATTGGATTATTTTTATTCTGAAGGAAAAAAACATTGGAAGGTGTGGATGGGTGGGTGGGTGGGAGAGGGGGCAATTCTGGATTTGAGAAAAAAATCCGGCAGTAGATAGTCAGAATTTTGCTGTTAAAATCCCGTAGTAGACAGAATGCTGCCATTAAAATCTGGTGGTAGTCAGTTTTTTTCTTCAGTTTTTATTAATTTCGTATAGCCCTGTGAGCCATTCGGCTCTTGAATCGGGTGCAACCGCAACAAACATAATTCTACCGTTAAAATCCGGTGGCAGTCAGAATTCTGCCGTGAAGAGTGAGCGGTCATAACAAGCTCACTCACGGATTGGCCGTCACCGATGTCCCACGTGCACTTTGCAAGATCGTATCTGCAGCTCGTATTCAAAAGTCCTTGCCGAGGGCAGACGAGTACTCAGTTCCACGTGCGTCATACCCAGGATGTAACTCAAACTCGTGTGCCCCCCCCCCTCCCCCACACGGCTGCACCTCCGATTGGCACGGTTGGCTTACGTACGGTGCGAAAGAAATTCAACGTGTACACACACACACACAGCAGGCCCCTTCGTCGTTAACATCCCACCGCAATTAGATGTTATGTATGACCTCGATCTAGCTTACGTTCTCTGGAGGGGGCGGGTTGGAGGTGATTAGGCATTAAACTAAAAACGATTTCTCTACTCATCTTCTTGGTTCTTTCGGTAAAGTCACGTAGAAGGGAAAAAAATAAAACATAATAAAATTATTCTCACGACGTTTCGGCCACAACGCAAGCTGCTTGCGTTATTATTTCCCTTCTACGTGACTTTACCGAAAGAACCAAGAAGATGAATCCCTGCAGTCACGAAAGCTTTAAATCGAGATTTCTCTACTCTTTGGTTCTTTCGGTAAAGTCACGTAGGTATAAAAGAAAATAAATCACGACGTTTCGGGCGCAACGCAAGCGTCCGTCATCAGGTGGGAAAGCCTTTCTCGATCATCGCGATCTATTTTATATTTCTACCCACGCGACTTTACCGAAAGAACCAAAGAGTATGGATTCCTGCAGTCACGAAAGCTTCAAATCAAAACGATTTCTCATTGTTTCTAGATTTGAAGCTTTCGTGACTGCAAGGATTCATATTATTAGGTTTTTTTCCGTAAAGTCACGTAGGTAAAAACTTTAAATTAATAAAAGTAAAATAAAATAAAAAATAAAATAAAAATCACGACGTTTCGGAGGCAACGGAAGCTTGTGTTGCCTCCGAAACGTCGTGATTTTTTATTTTACTTTTATTAATTAAAATTTTTTACCCACGTGACTTTACCGAAAAAACCTAAGAATATGGATTTCTCATTGTACCAGGTAAGGCCCCACTGAGCAGTGTAGCTCTCTTTCAGAATCGACCTGCCCACCACAAATGACAGCTCCAAGAAGCGACCGTGGCACCTACCCTTCCCGCCTGGTGTAAGACCTCCCCGCCGGTGTTTGTACGCGTGACGAAAACCCCGCTCGTGCGAATACAACGGGAAGCACTGCGCATCCCTCGCAGATGGAACGGATGGAGTCCCGCACGCTCTGCCCCAGCGCCTCCTGCTGGCGAGGCGGGGGTAAGCACGGCACCTCCTCGATCAGGAATGGAGTTTCACAACATCTGCGTGTGATCCACCCTTCCCCCCCTCCCGCCCCGTTGCCTCTCCAGCAAGCATAGCGAGCGCCACGACCGCCCGGTACATGTATAACGGCGTTCTGGAGGCTGCTGTTCCGGCTGCAGTTAAGCACTGGTTACATATATTGCAAATGTAAGTCTGTACATGTGGGCCTCTGTACAAGTATGTCTATAGATACAACATATATTGCCCGTGTAGGTCTATGCATGCACTGTGCTATGAACAAGGCCAATTTGCCAGAAGCAGTTTCGTTTTAAGGCCACGTGTTTGATTTTGTTTTACTGTACACGTAAATATATCTATCCCCGCCCACTGCCGACAAACCCCGCCTACCGTTTTACATAACCACGGCCACTATTGCATCAGGTGAAAAGCCCCGTTCTACGTTGCCCACATCTCGATGTCGACCACGTGGTGATTCTGTGGCTTATGGAGGCCCATAGCGTGCAAGTGCGAACTCCACATACACCTTATTCTTCTTGGTTCTTTCGCTAAAGTTACGTAGAATGGAAATAATAAAGTAATATTTATTATGTTTTATTATTTTATTATTTCCATTCTACGTGACTTTAGCGAAATAACCAATAAGATGAATCCCTGCAGTCACGAAAGCTTTAAATCGAAAAATACACCTTATTCTTAGGTTTTTTCGGTAAAGTCACGTAGGTAAATTTTTTTAAAGGAAATTAGTCTTTGTTGTGTGTAGAATCTACACAACAAAAAATAAAAATTAAGGAAATTAGTCTTTGTTGTGTGTAGAATCTACACAACAAAAATAATTTCCTTAATTTTATTTTTTTACCTACGTGACTTTACCGAAAAAAACCTAACAATATGAATCCTTGCAGTCACGAAAGCGTCAAATCTAGAATCCACATACACCGCTTCCCAGAGGCAGACTTTGCAGCGACGAGCATCAGTGACCGTGCTGTGCTGATGAGTTCTAATTATGATGAAGCCGGTTCCGCGGTTGTTTCATCACTGGTGCCTGCCAGTCGGTGACATTCACTCAAATTTATTTTGATGCAGTTCTGCAGGAGCTTCTGGTGGCTTGTGCACAATGCACAGAGGCTGCGTGTGCGTTTGTGTACACGTGCCCGCGTGTGGTTTGTAACTCTTATTTTTTCTCTCTCTATTTTACAGATTGGATTATGGCCAGAAGACAAAATCTTGAATTTGTAACGAATGCTTCGGGAGGGACGAACGCATGGGACGCACTTTCGAACGACAACCAGACCAAACCAGGACGTTTTGGCAGCCTTAGATATAGGGCTACAGATAAAGGGACTCCTCTATTTACGAACATTCGACTTTGGATCTTTCAGAGATGCGGACAAAGCTGGTCCGTATGTCGAGTTGCCTGTTCGGACCGAGAGTCGTAAGTTCAACCGCCACGCAATAGATGGTGGTGGTGGCATCTACATCTACAGAACGTGAACCAGCGGTATCTACATCTGCAGGAGATTATACGACTTTTAAAGCAATTCCCCGTGTTTAGTGTACATGCCGTACAACACGTTTGGAATCGACAGGAGTAAAGTTGGACTTACGAACATACACACCTCAGGAATCGAACTCGTTCGTAAGCAGAGGAGTCCCTGTACACCTACTGTACGTGAAGGTCCGTCGATAACGCATCTGCCCAGTAAAACGTGGAACGTTGGGGCCAACGTTGGATAAACGTTGGATGGCTACGCAGTGAACATGGAACGTCAGGTAAACGTTGGGTCAACGTTGGTCCGACGGTTCGGACCCCGTGGCCCAAGGTTGCCCCAGCGTTGCACGGCTACCGAGTGGACATTGAACGTCGGGACAAACGTTGGGTCAACGTTGGTCCGACGGTTCGAACCCTGTGGCTCAACGTTTGGCCGACGTTGGCATGTTTACTGGGGCGTACACCACGTAGAGGACTATAGCATCGAGCTTTTGACAGCGAGGCAAAAACGGCAGCAGGTCACCCACCACTTATAACGGGGCATATTTCCTCCGGACACTTCGAAAAACCACACAACAGATAACACAACACGACGCGAAATAATAAAATATATATCATGTGTATGCGATGAGTGTGTGTGCAATAACATAATTTCAGCAAAGGCACATAATGGCAAACTCCACGCCGATTGGATTAACAAACTGGCGGCACGAGATTGTCCACAATTTGTCCGCGTTGACCTGTGTGGTCACGTGCCTAGGAAAACAACAACAACAATAACAACACGTGACCGTACCGCTTTTGTTCTTTGCAAATTCTACATTCTCTACAGCACACACGTGCTCACAGCACGTGCCTCTCTTGCACGTCTTATATAGTGGGGGGCAGGGGGTGAGGGTGGAGGGGAAGGTGAGGGGGGTTAACAAATGTATATAAAGCAGGCACATTTCTGGTAGGCTCAACCAAGGCCACACGTGGTTGCGTCTTGCAAACTCCCTCCCCTCCCCTTCATTAGCTCCGCCCAAGTTTTGCATAACCACAGCCCACCCAATCCACTTAGCCCCGGTACACACCATTTACATAGAGGGGGGGGGGGGGGGCAACAGCGTACTGCAGTGTATACTTTATAAAGCGAGCAAAATTCCGGCAGGCTCAACCCAAAAGGCCACGTGGCCGATTCTGGCAGTTGCCCCCCTTCCATTGTCACCGTCAGCCCCCGCCTACTTTTGCATAACCACGCCCACCCAGCCACTAGCCCCCCGCCTGCCCATATAAGGGGAGGAGAGGCGTGACCTGTCTATAGCTCCACCCACTGCTGTGTAGGGCCCCACCCACTCTGCCAACTACGCCCAATGCTTAAGGTAAGGCTGTTTTTGCCCCCCCCCCCCCCCCCATATTTAAGAATTCGAGCCACATGGCGAGAGGAAGGAAAAACATTCAGACTTTCTTCGCAAACGCTGCACGGGGAAGCTCTGGGACAGACTTCGTGAAACCCACGGGAACTGTCCTGGCCAAACCCAGACGTCTGGTGGCATTGTTCACACACCGTGCATGTGTTTATAATATGCGTTACAGCCGTTTACATGGAGGGGGGTGAGGGGAGTGGTGAGGGTGGCACAGGTGAGAAGGATGGAGGGCAGGTATGGGTATGGTGAATGACTGCGCAGGGTTCGGGGGTAGATAGGCAGGTAGGTACACGTGTGAGGTAGGCCGGTGAGTAGCTGGGTAGATATCCGGGTGAGGCTACTTGCCAGGCAGGTGATTGGCCAAAACAACGAGTGCCTGGCTGGGTGGGGCGGGCGGGGAGGCAAGTTATCGAACAGTCACACAGGTGAGCGACCCTGCAGACAGGCGAGTAGGTGGGGAGAAACGTTATCGGCAAGGCAGACAGGTGAATGGCTGGACGGGCAGGTGAGTGACAGTCCAGGCAGGTGATTGACCGTATGTACTGGTGACTAATTGTCCGTACAGGTCAGTGCTTGGGTGGGGGGCGGTGGGGGGGCGAGGGGGGCGAGTGACTATCCTGTCCATACAGGTGAATGGCTGGGTGGGCAGGCGAGTGGTCGTCCATACAGGTGAGTGGCTGGGCGGGCAGGCAGGTAGGCAGGTGAGTGAGGATGCCGTCTTTCCGCCACTCAGGTGAGTGGCCAGGCAGGTAGGTAGGCAGGGGAGTGAGGATGCCGTCTGTCTACCACTCAGGTGAGTGGCTGGGCAGGTAGGTAGGCAGGTGAGCGAAGGTGCCAGCTGTCCACCACTCAGGTGAGTGTTCAGGCAGGTAGGTAGGCAGGTGAGCAAAGGTGCCAGCTGTCCACCACTCAGGTGAGTGGCCGGGCAGGTAGGTAGGTAGGTAGGCAGGTGAGCGAGGGTTCCGTCTGTCCTACACTCAGGTGAGCGGCTGGATAGGTAGGTAGGTAGGCAGGTGAGCGAGGGTGCCATCTGCCCAGCCACTCAGGTGAGTAGCCAGGCAGGTAGGTTAGGTAGGCAGGTGAGCGAGGGTGCCATCTGTCCACAACTCAGGTGAGCGGCTGGGCAGGCAGGCAGGTAGGCAGGTGAGCGAGGGTGCCATCTGTCCACAACTCAGGTGAGTGGCTGGGCAGGCAGGCAGGTAGGCAGGTAGGCAGGCAGGGGCGGTCGGCCGAACGAGTTGTCCCGACACGCAGGCGGCGAGCGGCGCGTGCTCAGTTGAGGCAGGGCTTCACGTCATGCAGGATAGGCGGGCTGCGGGGAGTAGAAGCCACCTCCGTGGAGGCCCGCGTGTTGCAGGGGGCCCGCCCCCCCGCCGCCGTGCAGGGAGTTGAAGTGGAAGCCGAAATCTTTGTGCTCGCACAGCGCCGGCGACGAGCTCCCGTAGCGAGACATCACTCCTGCGGGGCAGCGATCACACATCGGCATTTTATACGAGCAAGGCAAAGACAAAGACCACCCGTGTAGCCTTCGCAGACTGTTTGGGGCAAGTGCTGTTAGCGAGCAGGGTTCTATGAAGGTCGGCACGGCACACGAGGGGGTGGGTGGCCAGCACCACGCTCGGCCGCCTTTGTCTCGCCAGTGACGATGTGTTACACACTGCACCAGGTACTCATTTGAGGCTGAGTCGACCTAGGGGAGGCCCAGGACCGGTTCAGGTAATCGTCACCGGTGTTGACCGTGAGCGGGAATCTAACTCGGGATGCCGGGTTCGTAGCGCAGTGCACTGACCGCTACACCACCGCTCCCCGCACACACACAGACTTGTACACACACACATTGACACACGTGTAATCACACACATACACGTACGCACGTGCACATATTAAACAAACTTTTACTGGTCGGAACCACCTGGTTCCACCAGCCCACTGGGGATTATTGTGTCCGTCGTGCATCCAAAAATGGGAGGGGTGGGGCTGGGTGTAGAAGGGAGGGTGGGGAGGGGCTGGGTGGGGAGGGGAGGGGAGGGTGGGGAGGGGCTGGGTGGGGAGGGTGGGGCTGGGTGGGGGGTGGGAGGGAGGGGTGGGGTGGGGCTGGGTGGGGAGGGGCTGGTCACCCCGTGGTGCCCTTATAAAACTCAACGTTTAACCTACTCACGCCGGCTTGTGCCCGCCCTCACAGTCGGCCATATTTGCGGAATACACCACGCCGCCGTTGACCCTGGCCATTGACCGAGTAACCCAACGTTCCTACCAGTTCCCTCCGCAGGAATGTGTTGTTAGCCGTGGCCATACCACGGGTAGGTAGGGGGGGGGGGGGTAGAATCACGGATGTAAATATCTTGGAGAAAAGGGATCGGAGAAGGAAAAGAGAGGGGAGGAATAAATGGATGAGTTCGAGGATTGATGGGAAAGCAGAGGTCGCAAACGGGTTTTGATTCCTTACCCGTACCCGTACCCGGCCGGGTACGGGTACCCGTTCCGTACCCGTACCCTACCCGAAATGAGTGACAAACGGTTACTCACCAGTGACGCACGGCCTACCCGTACCCGTACCCGGCCGCACCAGGGTCGCAAACGGCTACCCGTACCCGTACCCGGCCGGGTACGGGTACGGGTAGCCGGGTATCGGGTAGGGTACGGGTATCGGGTACCCGGTTGCGACCTCTGTGGGAAAGTAACAGAGCGAGGAGGATGAGGAGGAGGTCGCTGGGTCAGGGCCTCCACGCTGAGGAGCGGCGTCTGTTTTAACAGTGGGCGGGGAGAGGGTTTCAGAGTGGGTGGTGGCCACAATAGAAGCCACGTGATGTACGGGAGCCTTGTGCTGGTTTAGACAGAGTTCTATAGATGAGAGGGGGGAGGGGTTCAGAGTGGGGGGTGGCCACAACAGAAGCCACGTGGTGTACGGGAGGCATCAGCTGGTTTAGACAGAGTTCTATAGATGAGAGGGGGGAGGGGTTCAGTGTGGGGGGTGGTCACAACAGAAGCCACGTGGTGTACGGGAGGCATCAGCTGGTTTAGACAGAGTTCTATAGATGAGAGGGGGGAGGGGTTCAGTGTGGGGGGTGGCCACAACAGAAGCCACGTGATGTACGGGAGCCTTGTGCTGGTTTAGACAGAGTTCTATAGATGAGAGGGGGGAGGGGTTCAGAGTGGGGGGTGGTCACAACAGAAGCCACGTGGTGTACGGGAGGCATCAGCTGGTTTAGACAGAGTTCTATAGATGAGAGGGGGGAGGGGTTCAGTGTAAGGGGTGGCCACAACAGAAGCCACGTGATGTACGGGAGCCTTGTGCTGGTTTAGACAGAGTTCTATAGATGAGAGGGGGGAGGGGTTCAGAGTGGGGGGTGGTCACAACAGAAGCCACGTGGTGTACGGGAGGCATCAGCTGGTTTAGACAGAGTTCTATAGATGAGAGGGGGGAGGGGTTCAGTGTGGGGGGTGGCCACAACAGAAGCCACGTGATGTACGGGAGCCTTGTGCTGGTTTAGACAGAGTTCTATAGATGAGAGGGGGGAGGGGTTCAGAGTGGGGGGTGGTCACAACAGAAGCCACGTGGTGTACGGGAGGCATCAGCTGGTTTAGACAGAGTTCTATAGATGAGAGGGGGGAGGGGTTCAGTGTGGGGGGTGGCCACAACAGAAGCCACGTGATGTACGGGAGCCTTGTGCTGGTTTAGACAGAGTTCTATAGATGAGAGGGGGGAGGGGTTCAGAGTGGGGGGTGGCCACAACAGAAGCCACGTGATGTACGGGAGCCTTGTGCTGGTTTAGACAGAGTTCTATAGATGAGAGGGGGGAGGGGTTCAGAGTGGGGGGTGGCCACAACAGAAGCCACGTGGTGTACGGGAGGCATCAGCTGGTTTAGACAGAGTTCTATAGATGAGAGGGGGGAGGGGTTCAGTGTGGGGGGTGGCCACAACAGAAGCCACGTGATGTACGGGAGCCTTGTGCTGGTTTAGACAGAGTTCTATAGATGAGAGGGGGGAGGGGTTCAAAGTGGGGGGTGGCCACAACAGAAGCCACGTGATGTACGGGAGCCTTGAGCTGATGTGTCGTTTATTTTGGCGATGCTGCTGCTGTTGTGGCATCACACGCACAATGTCCACAACTCAACACGTTTCGTCAAGAGCAACACCGTGGCCTTGAAAGAAAGCAATAGGCGACGTTTTAGAAGAACATTGCGCGATTCATTCGGATATCTCGAGTGAGCAGCGCCCTTCCCCCCCACCCACCCCCTCCGTGTTAGAGAACGGCCAGCGGAAGCAGAGATCACAGAGCTACCACTGAGTTCCATGCTTCGAGTGACCCACTCTGGTTTCACGCGCAGTAGAGGGCAGCACTTTCACACCCGCCCCGCCATATGAGAGTCGGGTGACCGGTTAAACCCCAATGTTGAATATTCGGAGATGGAAATTAGCGAAATTAGGAGCAGAACCAAACGGAATGTACAGTGAGGGAAAAAAGTATTTGATCCCCTGCTGATTTTGTACGTTTGCCCACTGACAAAGAAATGATCAGTCTATAATTTTAATTGTAGGTTTATTTGAACAGTGAGAGACAGAATAACAACAAAAAAATCCATAAAAACGCATGTCAAAAATGTTATAAATTGATTTGCATTTTAATGAGGGAAAAAAGTATTTGACCCCCTCTCAATCAGAAAGATTTCTGGCTCCCAGGTGTCTTTTATACAGGTAACGAGCTGATTAGGAGCACACTCTTAAAGGGAGTGCTCCTAATCTCAGCTTGTCACCTGTATAAAAGACACCTGTTCACAGAAGCAATCAATAAATCATATTCCAAACTCTCCACCATGGCCAAGACCAAAGAGCTCTCCAAAGATGTCAGGGACAAGATTGTAGACCTACACAAGGCTGGAATGGGCTACAAGACCATCGCCAAGCAGCTTGGTGAGAAGGTGACAACAGTTGGTGCGATTATTCGCAAATGGAAGAAACACAAAAGAACTGTCAATCTCCCTCGGCCTGGGGCTCCATGCAAGATCTCACCTCGTGGAGTTGCAATGATCATGAGAACGGTGAGGAATCAGCCCAGAACTACACGGGAGGATCTTGTCAATGATCTCAAGGCAGTTGGGACCATAGTCACCAAGAAAATAGTTGGTAACACACTACGCCATGAAGGACTGAAATCCTTCAGCGCTTGCAAGGTCCCCCTGCTCAAGAAAGCACATATACATGACCGTCTGAAGTTTGCCAATGAACATCTGAATGATTCAGAGGACAACTGGGTGAAAGTGTTGTGGTCAGATGAGACTAAATGGAGCTCTTTGGCATCAACTCAACTCGCCGTGTTTGGAGGAGGAGGAATGCTGCCTATGACCCCAAGAACACCATCCCCACCGTCAAACATGGAGGTGGAAACATGCGTTGGGGGTGTTTTTCTGCTAAGGGGACAGGACAACTTCACCGCATCAAAGGGACAATGGACGGGGCCATGTACAGTCAAATTTTGGGTGAGAACCTCTTTCCCTCAGCCAGGGCATTGCAAATGGGTCGTGGATGGGTATTCCAGCATGACAATGACCCAAAACACACGGCCAAGGCAACAAAGGAGTGGCTCAAGAAGAAGCACATTAAGGTCCTGGAGTGGCCTAGCTAGTCTCCAGACCTTAATTCCATATAAAATCTGTGGAGGGAGCTGAAGGTTCGAGTTGCCAAACGTCAGCCTCGAAACCTTAATGACTTGTAGAAGATCTGCAAAGAGGAGTGGGACAAAATCCCTCCTGAGATGTGTGCAAACCTGGTGGCCAACTACGAGAAACGTCTGACCTCTGTGATTGCCAACAATGGTTTTGCCACCAAGTACTAAGTCATGTTTTGCAGAGGGGTCAATTATCAACACCGTCGCTGCCTTGAGCTGCGTCGCCTCAACCCCCGCACACGCTCACGTCGCTGACTGCATCGTCGTCCGTCCGTTCCTCTATCGCTATACGTCGCCTCTCAGCCTTCACTACCACCCACCACCACTACTACTGCTACTACCACCACCACCCACCACTACTGCTTCTACTACCACCACCACCAACCATCCACCACTACTGCTACTACGACCACTACCACCATCCACCACTACTGCTACTACCACCACCACCATCCACCACTACTGCTACTACCACCACCAGCACCCACCAATACTGCTACTACCACCACCACCCACCACTACTGCTACTACTACTACCACCACTACTATTGCTACTACCACCACCACCACCACCCACTACTACTGCTACTACCACCACCAGCACCCACCACTACTGCTACTACCACCACCACCCACTACTACTACTGCTACTACCACCACCACCACCCACTACTACTGCTACTACCACCACTACTACTGCTACTACCACCACCACCACTACTACTGCTACCATCACCACCACCACCCACCACTACTGCTACTACCACCACCACCACCCACCACTACTGCTACTACCACCACCACCCACTATTACTGCTACTACCACCACCACCACCCACTACTACTGCTACTACCACCACCACCACCACCCACCACTATTGCTACTACCACCACCACCACCACTACTACCACCAGTACCCACCACTACTACTGCTACTACCACCACCACCCACCACTACTGCTACTACCACCACCACCACCCACCACTACTGCTACTACCACCACCACCACCCACCACTACTACTACTGATACTACCACCACCACCCACCACTACTGCTACTACCACCACCACCACCACCCACCACTACTACTACTGATACTACCACCACCACCCACCACTACTACGACTACCACCACCACCACCCACCACTACTACTACTGATACTACCACCACCACCCACCACTACTGCTACTACCACCACCACCACCACCCACCACTACTACTACTGATACTACCACCACCACCACCCACCACTACTGCTACTACCACCACCACCACCACCCACCACTACTACTACTGATACTACCACCACCAGCACCCACCACTACTGCTACTAGCACCACCACTACTACTACTACTACCACCACCACCACCACCCACCACTACTACTACTGATACTACCACCACCACCACCCACCACTACTGCTACTACCACCCGTTAAATCGCTTCGATGGATTGACGTCGTTTCGATATTCATCGTCGCCGTCGCACCTTTCAGAGAACGCATCCCCAAAGTAAACCAGGGGTGGGGGGTTATTTCCGTACTCTGATATTTAGTTTTTAAAAAAATCATAATCGCATCTCTCGCAGTCGCTGGTGATCCACAGTTGTCCAAACCTTGGCAAGGCAGCCAGCCAGCCAGGCATGCGGCGACGCTATCAACAATTGCCCAAGCTCTGCGATCCTCTACGTATATATATGTGTGTATATTGTATATTGATACGTGCTCAGCCAATCAATGGAAACCGGAGCACCTGGAGAAAACTCAGGCGTCAGAGAGACGGGGAGTGACACTCTATCCCACGCAGAAGGCACAGATGGATATTAGTCCGCATTTCTGCTGTACCGCCTTCTCCCGTCAGAGTCAGGGCATGAGCTTCTCATCGATACCCGCCCCCAACGGAGAGGAGAAGGGAGCTTCACACAGCATCTGTGTGTGATCCACAAACCCCCGGCTGCTGCTTCTGCTGCTGTCACCATACCCAGTGCCGTGTCAACACAGTGTTATGTGACACACACACAGTGACACACACACACACAGTGCTGTGTCACACGCACGCAGTGCCGTGACACACACAGTGCTGTGTGACACACATACAGTGTCACACACACACACACACCGTGTCACACACACACAGTGTTACACACACAGTGCTGTGTGTCACACACACAGTGCTGTGTGACACACACACAGTGCCGTGTCACACACACACACAGTGTCACACACACACAGTGCTGTGTGTCACACACACAGCGCTGTGTGACACACACGCACAGTGCCACACACACACAGTGTCACACACACAGTGCTGTGTGACACACACGCACAGTGCCACACACACACACAGTGCCGTGTCACACACACACACAGTGCCGTGTGACACACACACACACACAGTGCCGTGTGACACACACAGACAGTCACACACACACAGTGACACACACACAGTGCTGTGTGTCACACACACGCACAGTGCCACACACACGCACAGTGCTGTGTCACACACACACACAGTGCCGTGTGACACACACACACACAGTGCCGTGTGACACACACAGACAGTCACACACACACACAGTGACACACACACAGTGCTGTGTGTCACACACAGTGTCACACACACAGTGACACACACACAGTGCTGTGTGTCACACACACGCACAGTGCCACACACACGCACAGTGCTGTGTGTCACACACACGCAGGCAGTTGCCACGTGCAGCAGCAGCAGCATTGTAGCCACCGCGCGGCTATAAACAGAACGAGGTTCATACTAAGAGGGGCCAGGGTCTTGAGGTGTTGATTGTTCGTGGTGGGTGGGGGGGTAGATTATACATGAAGCTCGAGTTGCAAGTCCATTAATACCCCGAGTAACCTTTAACGTCGTTTCGCAGATACGTCGCCATATCAACACCGTCGTTACCTTCACCTGCGTCGCCTCGACCCCCACACGCTCACGACGCTGATGGCAGCATCGTCCGTGCCTCTCTCAGCCTTCACCACCACCACCACCCACCCACCACTACTACCACTACCACGCACCCACTACTACTACCATTACCACCCACTACTACCACCACTACCACCCACCCACCACTACCACCACTACCACCCACTACTACCACCACTACCACCCACCACTACCACCACTACCACCCACCACCCACCCACTACTACCACCACTACCACCCACTCACCACTACCACCACTACCACCCACCACCCACCCACTACTACCACCACTACCACCCACCCACTACTACCACCACTACCACCCACCCACTACTACCACCACTACCACCCACCCACTACTACCACCACTACCACCCACCCACTACTACCACCACCACCACCCACCACCACCACTACCACCACCCACCCACTACTGCTACTACTACCACCACCACCACCCACTACCACCACCACCACCCACCCACCACTGCTACTACTACCCCTGTCAAATCGCTGCGATGATTGGCGTCGTTTCGATATTCGCCGCCGCAGCATGTCGGTGCGTGTCCATTGCTCTCCATCCGTCAAATTCCACATTCCCAGGCCGGGGACCCCCACGGCGCACTCCCCGACCGCCGAACTCACCCGAGAGGGCTCCGGGTGGAGGCTCTCGCACCGTGGCGTGAGCGCTGTACATGTGCTCGGGCGACGACGACGACGAAGCTGCCACCGACGCTGCCGCCGGGTTGAAAACGAACGGGTTCGGCGCCTGCTGCTGGTGACTGTGGTGGCCGTGGTGGTGAGGGTGGTGGTGGCCCGGGTGCGTGGCGGGGTGGTGGTGCGTGGCGGGGTGGTGGTGGTGGTGGTGATGGTGGTGAGAGTTGTGCCACGCCTGCTGGCCCGACTGCCCCCCTACTCCACCACCGCCGCCGCCGCCGCCACCACCGTACGAGCCACCGACATCGAGTCCCGAGGAGACCACGGAGCTGGCGAGCTGCGGGTTGAACTCCACGTAGGGCAGATGCGCGGACGAGGACTCTGCACCCGTCGCCGACGAAGCCGATGAAGCCGACGTCGAGGCCCCCACCGCCTGTTGCTGCTGCTGCTGCACGACGGCGGAGAGGATGGAGCCGTTGCCGGCAACGCACGGATCGACGCCGGCCAAAGCCTCCTGCAGCGATTGGTGACCCCCCACAGCGAGGCCGCTGCCGACGCCGCCGCAGCCGTTCGCGCCGGGGTACTGGAGGCCCCCCATGGGCGCCTGGAAGTCGAACACGGAGTGGTTGAAGGCGAGGCCGTTCATCATGCCGTACATGGGCTTCAGCGCCTGGCACTTGCGTCGGAAGCCGCGCGGGCGACGCCGGAAGGAGCCCTCCTCGAACATGAACTCGCTCGCCGGGTCGATGGTCCAGTAGTGGCCCTTGCCCGGGCGTCCGAGCCCCTTGGGCAGCTTCACGAAGCACTCGTTGAGCGACAGGTTGTGGCGCACCGAGTTCTTCCAGCCCTGGTAGGCGCCGCGGAAGAAAGCGAAGCGGCTCTGGAGGAACTGGTAGATCTCGCTGAGGGTGACGCGTCGCGACGGCGCGCTCTGGATGGCCATGACGATGAGCGCGATGTAGGAGTAAGGGGGTTTCTCGGGTCTCCTCGAGCCCGCCGTCGTCTTGCGCGCCGCCGATTTGGAGGAGGAGGAGGTGGTCGTGGCGGCGGCGGCGGCGCAGCCGGCGGACGAAGAGGAGGAGGACGAGGAGGAGGCGGACGACGGAGGGGTTGGGAGGCCGCCGGGAGGAGCGTGGCACGCGGGCTCCGAGGAGACGCCGATGTTTGGGGGCGGCCCCGTCACGGCCGTGGCGAGGTCGGCGTGCGAGAGCGACGAGGAGGAGGAGAGGGGGGCGCGGAGAGGCCCCGCGAGGCGAGACGCGGGGTCCACGGTAGCCATCGCAGCGGGGTGCCTGGTGATGGGAGTGCGGGTGAGTGAAGCTGATGGATGGGCAGGGGAGGGGGAGATGGTGGGTGTGATGATGATGATGTTGTTGTTGTTGTTGCTGGTGGTGATGCCAATAGTGGAGGCGATGGCTCTGATGATATTGATGAGGGTGGAGCTGATGATGATGTTGTTGATTGTGACCGAGCGGGTGGTGGTGAATCTGTTAGTCAAGATGAAGATCGTGGAAGTGATGAGTATGATCGAGATATCTGCTGCTGATGATGATGGTGATGATGATGATAGAGGCGCACAAGCGAGAGGAAGACACCTGCGCAGGTAGGAGACAATGGACACACAACACCTGTTAGCGCTCCATGCGGATGCAACCTACACAGCCAATGCAACAAAAATACTCAACTAGTTTGTATTTTATCGGGCAAGCAAGGCACACTGAGAGCTCTTTATCAGAAGAGGCCTGGCCATCACAAGTGATAGCCCAACGAAGTGGCTTTCATCATCATCATCACGTGGAAATGTACAGCAGCCAAATACACTGAAGCGTGCGTTGCTGATTCAAAATGTGGAGGTGGAAGATCGCAGGAGCCAGGATTCTCAGGTAGTTGGGGGGGGGGCTACCCCTCCAGCAATTAAACAATTATAGAAGAGTTACATCATGGGACCTCCTTTGCCAGTAGCAAAATATACTAATAGGGTTTCTCCCCTTTTTTTCTGGCAACAAAAAACTGACACCTTTTGCAAGGAATCATGCTTACATTAACCACAATACTTGCAGTCAAATGCAAACAAAAAACAATACTCTGATAATTTATGCATTGTCTTTGGAACTGATTGGTCCACACCAGAGACAGCTTTCTATAGAGCCTAGTCTCATATGGTGTTCGACCAGATGACGCCAAAAGGCGTGTTGTGTGATCGGCATCGCGCTCGTTGAAGGTGTTGATGCCTTCAGGGAAGTCGTGTGCTGTATACGCAACTGCGCACTATTCCGAGTCGCTTGTTGCCAATTATGGACTCAGACTATTGTCCTATCATCTCATATAGTCCCTGGCACGTAACAATATGCTACACAGTGGCAGTGGGGGTCGCAGTTCGTGCGCGCGGTGTTGTCGTGCACACACGTGCGTTCGGGCGCGTGTCCTGGCGTATGCGTGGTGTTGAGTGAAGGATGTCTGTGTGTGTGTGTTAATGAAACCCGCAATGATTCGATTTCGATCGGATCATTGGGGGGCACGTGTCCCCCCCGCTCCGCTAGTGACCACGGGGAGAGAGACACGCAAACTCCAAATATACAGCAGCAGGCGTCAGGGTCGGGATCGAACCCACGAACTCCTGCATACCAGGCGAGGTAGTTAACATCTCCTAGCCACCGTGATGATGATGATGATGAGAGAGACACGCAAACTCCAAATATACAGCAGCAGGCGTCAGGGTCGGGATCGAACCCACGACCTCCTGCACACCTGGCGAGGTAGTTAACATTTCGCCACTGCTGTTCGTCGTGGCCGGGAATCAACTCCCAGCCACGGAATATGGAACAAGCCCCACACACGTACACCCTGACAGACACGCGCGCACACAAAGACAAAGATCACATCTGTTGCTGTTAGCGAGTAGCACCTATGGAGAGGCGAGACCGGCACACAGGAGGGACTGACTCATCGTCACCGGTCGAGGTGGCATGCGCTCAACCCCGATACGTCCCGCACGCGTGCGGACAAATGACATGTAAGCTTCACAACAACAACAACAAAAACACTCGATTGTATAATCTTGATTTGAAGCTTTCGTGACTGCAGGAATCCATACTCTCTGGTTCTTTCGGTAAAGTCCACGTAGGTAGAAAAAATAATACTGGTAGGAACCACCTGGTTCCACCAGACCACAGGGGATTATTGTGTCCGTCCGTCGTGCATCAAAAAATGGGAGGGGTGGGGCTCGGTCGAGAGGGGAGGGTGAGGAGGGGCTGAGTGGGGAGAGGAGGGTGGGGCTGGGTGGGGAGGGGAGGGTGGGGAGGGGCTGGGTGGGGAGGGGAGGGTGGGGCTGGGTGGGGAGGGGAGGGTGGAGAGGGGCTGGATGGGGAGGGGAGGGTGGGGCTGGGTGGGGAGGGGAGGGTGGGGAGGGGCTGGGTGGGGAGTGGCTAGGTGGGGAGGGTGGGGAGAGTGGGGCTGGGTGGGGAGGGGAGGGTGGAGAGGGGCTGGGTGGGGAGGGGAGGGTGGGGCTGGGTGGGGAGGGGAGGGTGGGGCTGGGTGGGGAGTGGCTAGGTGGGGAGGGTGGGGAGAGTGGGGCTGGGTGGGGAGGGGAGGGTGGGGCTGGGTGGGGAGGGGCTGGGTGGGGAGGGGTGTGTGGGTTGGGTGTGTGGGTTGGGTGTGTGGAGTGTGCGGCTTATCGGAGCGAGTGTGCGCGAGTGATTTTTTGTGTTTCGAGACTTGGGGGAGGGAGGGAGTCTGGGGAGACAAAGGCGACCGGACGTGGGGCTGGCCACCCACCCCCTCGTGTGCCGTGCCGGCCTTCATAGGTGCTCGCTAACAGCACTTGCCCCTACAGTCTGTTAAAGCTATACGGGGCGTCTTTGCCTTTGTATTTGAAGTGGTTAGCGCTATGCTGCGCTAGAAACCCGGCTACGACCACGAGTTCGATTCCCTCTCACGGCCAACACCGGTGACGGTTCATCTGAACCCGTCCTGAGCCTCCCCTAGGTCGACTCAGCCTCAAATATTTACCCGGTGCGTTGTGTAAACATCGCCACTGGGGGAGACAAAGGCGGCCCGGGCGTGGTGTTGACCACCCACCCCCTCGTGTGCCGTGCCGGCCTTCAGTAAGCGCTACTCGCTAAACAGCACTTGCCCCAACTGCCTGCTCAAGGCTACACAAGGGGCCTTTGTCTTTGTGTGTGGTATGTGTGTGTGTGCTGCTTGCGTGGTGTGTGGTATGTGTGTGGTGGGTGTGTGCCAGAGAGACTGTGCGTGTGCATGTGGTGCGTGTGTGTGGTAAGTGTGCGTGCCAGAGCGAGTGTGTGTGGGGTGCATTGTGCGTGTGTGTGCGTGTGTGTGGCGTGTGTGTGCGTGTGGCGTGCGTGTGGTGCGTGTGTGTGCTAAGTGTGCGTGCCAGAGCGAGTGTGTGTGGTGTGCGTGTGGTGTGCGTTGTGCGTGTGTGGCCTGTGTGCGCGTGTGTGCGGTGCGTGTGTGATACACGTGTGTGTGCGTGTTGCACACGTATGTGTGTGCGGTGCCTGTGTGGTACACGTGTGCGTGCGTGTTGTACACGTGTGCGTGCGTGTGGTGCGTGTGTGGCGTGTGTGTGCGTGTGGCGTGTGGTGCGTGTGTGTGCTAAGTGTGCGTGCCAGAGCGAGTGTGTGTGGTGTGCGTGTGGTGTGCGTTGTGCGTGTGTGGCGTGTGTGTGCGTGTGTGCGTGTGTGCGGTGCGTGTGTGCGGTGCGTGTGTGTGCGTGTGTGCGCGTGTGGCGTGTGTGTGCGTGTGTGCGCGTGTGGCGTGTGTGTGCGTGTGTGCGGTGCCTGTGTGGTACACGTGTGCGTGCGTGCGTGTTTCAACGGTCAAGTCTGTTTCGTTTAACCCAACGCGATAACTCGAGAGAGAGCGAGAGGGGCCCATCGGAGTTCTCGTTTGCTAAGCGTGACCTGGGGCGTTCGGACTGCCGTTGTGTGTTGCGAGCGTACGTACGTGTGTGTGTGTTAGGCAAGGCTGCGTTGGCTGGGTCACGTGGCCCGCATGCTCAGCCACCGCATGCCTAAACAGATTTTGTTCGGCCGGATCGAGGTGGGCTAGACGGGCGCGGCACGGGCTAGAGAAGAGATGGAGTGATGTGGTACAGGAGGACGTGGAGCTGAGTGGACTTGCCGACGACTGGTACCAGCGGTGTCAAGATCGGCCTCTGTGGAGGAGGCTCGTGAATGACGCTACTACTGGGCAGTTGGAGGCAGTCGCCCTCCAGCAATAACGGAGGGCAGAGGAGCGACTCTCACAACAACGAGCATAGCGCCGGGTGGCTAAAGCACACCAAGTTGGCACAGTAGGGGGCACAGGTGGTGCATCAGCCACTCATCTCAGTCAGTCGACCCGTGGCATCTGGGTCTGCCCACATGACCTCCTGCCAGCGGGCGTTCGACACTTCACGTGGCCTCAAGGTGCACCTAGCCTGGCACAAGCGCTGTGGTCACGTCACTGCCACTTAGTGGCGAATGGCGGTGGTTGTTGTTGTTGTGTTGGTCTGTGTGCAGTACTATGTTGAACTTCTCTCGCACCGTGCGTGACCAACCGTGCCAATCGGAGGTGTCTGCGTGACAATAAACGGAACACACAAAATCTGGGATATTTGTTGTTGTTGCTGTTTTAAGATTGCAGTTGTCATCTTTGGAACATTCGTTCAAATATGCGTTGTCGTCTCAATCCGTGCAGGGCTTCTTGGTCGACTTTCCTGTTGAACGGATTGGAGGTGACCACCCACAGGAGGAAGAAGAGAGGAAGAAGAATAAGGCAGAGCATCATATTCTTAGGTTTTTTCGGTAAAGTCACGTAGGTAAAAAATGTAAATTAATAAAAATAAAATAAAACAAAATAAAAATCACGACGCTTCGGAAGCAACACCATTATATATACGAGGTGGTATTTCTTGTGATCTCTCATTTACTTGATACAGCTGTCGTGGCTGTGACGGTTCCACCTGAAGACGGAAGCTTGTGTTGCTTCCGAAACGTCGTGATTTTTGTTTTATTTTACTTTTATTAATTTAAATTTTTTTACCTACGTGACTTTACCGAAAAAACCTAAAAATATGAATCCTTGCAGTCACGAAAGCTTCAAATCTAGAATAGGCAGAGCATCGATATTCGGTATTCACGGTGAGTTGGAACAGATGGAACAGATGGAGACTGATCCACGGTTTGCCATACCACCTTCTCCCGGCTAGCCGGAGTAGATGGCTTCTCCTCGACGCTCGCGGACGGTGGGTGGGGAGGAGTGGAAGGAAATTTTTGACAACCATCTCAGTGTGTTTCACCAACCCTCGCCATTGCAACCAACACGGGCCAAAAAAATTAACCCGTAAAAACAAAGTTTTTCACTATAAATTTATTATTCATTTCTGTTTTTCTTGAGTAAGAGTTTCATTTTTATCACATTGGTATTTTAAATTAAATATGAAAAAAAAAATTTCCTAAAAAGTGGAACATTTTGGGAAAAAATTTTTACGAAAATAAATTGTCACGCACAACGAGTCTGTGTGCAAAATGTCAGCTTGATTGGATCACGGGAAGTGGGTTAAAAAACGACCGAAAGATTTGCACGGTCGTAA